TGGGACGAGAGTGGTGACGACGCTCAGGCCACCAGCGTGTAACCGGCTGGCCCGATGTCCCCAGCGTGTCACCAGTCACCCACCGCCATCTCCCGGGTCTTTCTGAAGGGTGTTTGATCCCAATCCCGTGGGGTGTCTCCTCCCCGGGCAATAAACAGCATTGGTGTCACCGTCACAAGGTGCTCGGTTGTGTCCTGCCACCACTCGAGGCTCTGTCCCCAACCCCACCCTGTCCCCAGCACCCTACGCCTGCCGGGGACATCCCAGGACCTGGGGCAGTGGCAGGGATGGCAGGGCCACGGGGACCCTTGGGGACACGGTCATGGGGACCCTTCGCGGCAGTGATGGGGACAACAGAGCCACTGGGACCCCTTGGGACAGGGCCATGGGGACACTTTGGGGATGTCGAGGCCAAGCGGACACTTTGGGACAGGGCCACAGGGACACTCTGGGGACAACAGAGCCACAAGGACCCTTTGGAACAGGGTCACGGGGAAAACTTGGGGACCACAGAGCCACAGGGACCTTTGGGACAAGGCCATGGGGACATTTTGGGGACAAGAGAGCCATAGGGACCCTTGGGACAGGGCTGTGGGGACAATTTGGGGACAAGAGAACCATGAGGACCCTTTGGAACAGGGCCACGGGGACACTTTGGGGGTGACAGAGCCATGGGGACCCCACAGGAGAGGGCCATGGGGACACTTTGGGGACATCGAGACCATGCAGACACTTTGGGACAGGGCCATGGGGACGCTCTGGGGACAACAGAGCCTGAGGGACCCCTTGGGACAGGGCTGTGGGGACAATTTGGAGGTGACACAGCCACAGGGACCCCTCAGGACAGGGCCATGGGGACGTTTTGGGGACAACAGAACCATGAAGACCTTTGGGACAGGGCCATGGAGACTGCACAGGACAGGGCCATGGGAACACTTTGGGGACGACAGAGCCACAGGGACACTTTGGGGACAAGAGAGCCATAGGGACCCTTGGGACAGGGCTTCGGGGAACACTTTGGGGACAAGAGAACCACGAGGACCCTTTGGAACAGGGTCACGGGGACACTTTGGGGGTGACAGAACCACAGAGACCCCTTGGGACAGGGCCACGGGGACACTTTGGGGGTGACAGAGCCATGGGGACCACACAGGAAAGGGCGATGGGGACACTTTGGGGACGTCGAGGCCATGCGGACACTTTGGGACAGGGCCAC